TTTTTACATTTTACATTTTTAAATTTTTAGTTACAATCCAATTTGCTTTACATTTTTACATTTTATGAATTTTACAGATTAATTACTTTTATATTTTACATTTTTACTCAATTTACATTTTGTCTTTCTTTACATTTTTATTTATTTTTACATTTTTTTATTTATTTATTTTACAATTTATTTTACATTTACATCTTACATTTTTATCTTTATTTTACTCTTTTAATTTTATTTTACAGTTTTAGTATTACCAATATGGTCTGCTTGGTGACACTTCTCTCTGAGTATTAAAAAATACCCTCAAGGAAGCACCACTAGTTCTAATTTTGAATTTTTTGCCAAAGTTTTTGCATTCCACATTGATATTACTAATCCTTTTTATTGCTTTTAATTGTTCTTTCCGCTATTGTTTTACAAAATTCTAAAAATTTTTCCCTGGTTTCTTTGTTCTCTATTATTTTATTTATGTATTCTGATTTTATTTTAGTATTTATTTCATGTTCTACGTCGTGTCTCTGTCTATTGTATATCGGACAATCTACTATCAGATGTAAAACGTCTTGCTCAGTTCCCGATTCACATGAGCACGACGGGTCCTCCTTGCACTTAAAACGATGCAAGTATTTGGAGAACCCGCCGTGCCCCGTAAACACCTGCACCATTGTTGCCTCCATCTCGATTTTTCTAACTATTTTATATGCCTCTATCGCGTTTGGGAAGAAGATTTTTGTCGTAGAAGCTGTCGTCCCTTCCATATATCTCCGGTTCCATTCGTCAAGCGAGTCCTTTCGGATTTGTCGCTTGACGAATGAAACCGGACATTTGTCGTAATCGGCCTTCCTTTTAGTTTTTAACGCAGCCTCTTTTGCCAACTCATCAGCCCTTTCATTTCCGACCGTTCCGATATGCGCTCTAATCCAGTATAAATTTATTCTTTTACTTTGTTCCCTAATCTCTTTTATATTATTCCTTACTTGTATTGCCAGTGGGTGATTCGCATTTGGATTTATGACCATCTGTAAGGCCGATCGGGAGTCTGACAGGATGTTGTGGCAACATTCTGAGGAACTTCGCGCGCATTTAACCGCTTCGTTAAGCGCCAGTAGTTCCGCCTGAAAGACGGTGCAATAGTTTTCCAGTTTCAGCTTTCGGGTTTTGGTTTCCGCATCGCCGTGCCATACGGACAGTGCGGCTCCAACCTTACCCTCCAGCTTACTCCCATCCGTGAAAATGTTTATACCATTTTCTGACGGCATTGCACCGTCTTCCAGGCAGACGAACTCTAGCTCCGTCCCGTCCGCTGGATGCGCCATGTCTCTCCAGGACGTTCTCTTTTCTATTTCTCGATCCCCTACCACCCGCCGGGACACACCTCTTTTGACCTCGTACAGGGCGGCTGCTTCCTGGACTCTGAGGTCCAACGGTAGAAGTCCGGCGAGCAGCAGGGAAGAGTTTAGTGAGACCGTCCTGTAGGC